GCAGGTTCCAAGCTATTCAATTGTCTGCCTTCAAAAATAAAGAGTATCCCATTAATGTCTTTTTTCAAACGGAAAGTTAAAGAAAACTTTTTAGTGGGATGTTTTCATTCTATCAATGAATATTTTGAGTATACTTCCAAATAACTGTAAAATGATTTGAAATCCCTGAAAGAACTAAAATAGAAGAATTGAAAAAGAATAGCTGAAAATAACAATTATATCAACAAAAAAACCACTGAAATGAAATAACAGTGAGATAAAATAGAACAATTGAACAAAAATAAAATAAAAATGAAAAAAATATCAGACAATGGAAGTCCGACCTAATGAAATTCATCATAAAACTATGTCAATCACCTTCAAACAAATGTGTTCAATATATTGTAATCTCTAGGTTATTTATTAACTCCTCATCATACATCTACATATTTCTTTTTACTTTTTAAATGATCATTTCAAAGGAATACAAACATCATTATTATTATTATATATGGATTTCCATACTTTCCATATTTATACTATAAATAACTGTTCTTCCAGTTTTTGCAAAACTGGGATTCATTCCTCAAGAAACACAAAAACCAGAACGTTCATTTCTCGCTCTTATAATCGCCACCAGGCGAATACTCTACCTTTCAAAGTAAACTCGACCTGTGCATGTAGTAGTTTCTTGCTTTCTTTATTCTTTTGATCCACCTAGTCTGCTGACTCTTTTGTTTCATAAATAGCATTTCAAGTAGTTGTTTGACAACGTAGGCCAAATTAAAATTCATAATTTAGACTTGGTTTCAAAGAAAAAAATCGAAACTTGAGAACGGCGAATTGTGTCCGAACAAAAGATTTAACGAGGTGACAAGAGAAGACGCTTCTAGATACAATGGTGCTCTGAATTATTTGAGAGGTCGGAAATTTCACAATGGCTTGTTTTTCTGGAGAATTTTTCTTTGAGACATGAAACAAAATAATTTATCGTCCAAGAAAAATGTATCTGGTCGATTACGTGGTGTAAAAATGACAACGAATATTTCCTATTGTTTTTACACGTTTTATATTAGCTTCACCTGTATGTATGTTTGTTTGTAACTCTCCTTTTCATTTCATATCGGGATCTGTATTTGACAGAATTATTGACATTATTGCCTGATCTATTCGCGGGCAGATGACGCTGTACGTAACCTCCTTGATATATCAACATTATTGCTTGATCTATTCGCGGGCAGATGGCGCTGTATCTAACCTACTTGATACATAGACATTATTGCTTGATCTATTAGCGGGCAGATGGCGCTGTACCTAACCTCCTAGATATATCGACATTATTGCTTAAATACTAGTATTATTGTGAAAAAAGCGTGGGCGCTTTGTGCCATATTTTTTGTATATCAAGCGCCCGTCGCTTTTTTCATAATAAAACTAGTATTTTTCGTTCGTTATTGTTTTAGGCTTATTTATTTTGCAATTATATAAATCGATGAGGAAAAATAGGCGATACAATTAAATTTTTTATCATCTCCAGTAATCATTAGTTAATTTTCAAATTTTTCCAAGGTTTTCCGACGCTTCGGTGACTGTTGTTTACAATTTCTCGGTAACAGAATATTTTCCAACAGTTCATTTTTCAAAACCAAGCTTCTATATTCCCCTATCAAATCATTCATATTTTGAAAATGTTCAATTTGCAATGATTTCAGGATCATTTTAGGCTCTTTTATATAGTCTAGTTCACAAACGAAAGATTTGCTCAAAAGAGTCATAATTGGTGACGAATCATGGGTATGTCAAGGGTAAGTAAAATCATACCAATGGAAGAGCCCAGAAGAGCCAAGACCAAAAAAGCAAGCCTAGTGTGATCAAATGTCAAGGTTTTGCTCACTGTTTTATTCGATTACCATGGCGTAGTGCATCAGGAATCATACGGTCGATAAAGAGTATTATCTTGAATTATGCGCCGCTTGCAAGAGGCAATACGAAAAAAACGTCCATGGAAAATCAATTCATAACTTTGGCACTACGATACTGCACTGTTCCTATTTTTTGGCCAAAAACAACATAATAATCATGCCTCAGCCACAGTATTCTCCAGATTTAGTACCCTGCGACTATTTCTTGTTCCAAAAATTGAAGACACCCATAGGGTTTGGCGTCGATTAAGGAGAATAAAATCGAATCGCTGAGAAAGCTCGAAGACCAACAAATGCATATCAGAACTGCGTCTAGGATTGAAAAAAACGCTGGCACGAGTGTATGATATCTGAGGGGGACTACTTTAAAGGGGACAAAATAGAAATTGATGAAGAAATAAATATTCTTTGAGAAAAATTAAAATTCATCTTAGTTTTTTAACAGACCTCGTAGGTATCCTGCCCAATAAGACTGCTGATCGCGAAATCGCGATCAAAAGTGAACACCATGCTGATGCATTGAAAATCAAACCACCAGCTATATGAAACACATGCCTGCGGTGTATATTTTTTTGTAAAAGAATTCATATTTTCATTACGTCTGATGATTACTCACTCTTATATAGTCAATTCAAACAAAACGAAATACTGATTAAAACCTATTGTAATAGCGAATTCAAAAAGAAGAAGCGATTTCGACAGTGAAAAATGGAATGTCTGTTTCAAAATCAGGTCACTTGAGATTACAACAGGTTGAATAATGAATCTGCAAGTATTTCTCATTTATAACTTTCGGGATTTTATTCGCAATTGCCAATGAAAGCTGAATTTTGTTATACACTTGTAAACTTAAGTAGAAATTGGAACCCCTGCCGTGAAAATAATGTATTGGAAACAGTTCCCTCATCAGAACAAAAATGTGTCTCTCGAGGCGTGTTTCGCTAACCAAGTTAGCATCATTTGGAGATGATTAGGACTACTATACAGTTTATTGAAATGACAAAAATCAAACATTAAATGTAACTATCCACATTATCATTTCCATATCTTTTAAAAATTTCTCGCAGTATTTGCTATCAATAGAATTGCCGAGAAAACTGATGTCTTCTGAACACAAAATTCAAGACTGTTTACGTACATTACAACAACGTGACAAAAAATCAATGAAACATTTCAAACAGAACTTTTTATTTGTAAAACTGTTTAGGGGCTAGTATAGGCACGCCTGAAGAAGCTATTTTATAGCGACACACGTGTTGCGTATTTGTAAAACTGTTTAGGGGCTAGTATAGGCACGCCTGAAGAAGCAATTTTATAGCGAAACACGTGTTGCGTTTTTGTAAAACTGTTTAGGGGCTAGTACAGGCACGACTGAAGAAGATATTTTATAACGAAACACGTGTTTCGTTTTTGTAAAACTGTTTAGAGGCTAGTATAGGCACGCCTGAAGAAGCTATTTTATAGCGAAACCCGTGTTGCGTTTTTGTAAAACTGTTCGGGAGCTGGTGGTATAGGCACGCCTGAAGAAGCTACTTTATAGCGAAACACGTGTTGCGTTTTTATAATACTGTTTGGGAGCTAGTATAGGCACGCCTAAAGAAGCTATTTTATAGCGAAACACATGTTGTGTGTTTGTAGAACTGTTGAAAATCCCAAGTCCAGGCATGTGATGAAATATTTGGTAATACTTGATTAAAATCTATAATAATCTATCTATTCAAGTAATACATGTTCAGGCATGTTCAGTATTGAACGAGCCTAAATCGATTATATTTTGTAGGTTAGGATAGAAAAATGAAGCATTAATTCAAATTAATGATAAACTAAAAAAGGAGTCTGATGATAGATTCAAAAATTCCTTTCAAACAATAGTCTTTTTCATGAGGTTTTTTTTGTATGGATGGCATGTGAGAATTGTTTTTTAAACCAGTAACTAAATAGGAGGTCCATGAAATGAACAAATTTGTGAAAGTGGGTAAGTAAATAATCTGGTGGCACTAAATAAATGCACAGGCATCGACTAAAATGTGAATGAAATAAAGCCATCCCTTTGTGAGTATCCTAACCTCTACAAAAAAGTGAAGGAAGAACAAACATCTCAACTGGTCAAAGCCTGAATTCTTCGATAGATTTAAATAGTGGTTATGACACTACTACAGAAAGAGGGCTGGGTATTTTACAAGGTCCAGGTAGAAAAATCAACATACCCAGGAAAGGAACCCAGAAATATTGTCTTATTCTGTATGGAACAAGAAATAATTCAAATATTCTTTCAAAATGATATTGAACTAATTTTGAAGGGAATAAATAGTTTTTAGGTTTTCTATGTCTCCAACATAAAGAAAGTGAGAAAAGACGAAGATATGAAATGTATCAATGAGAACATTTACCAAAGATGTGTAGATCAGACACAAAAGATTCTTTCAGATAAAATCCGAAACAAAATCCATTGAAAACAAAACTTTCAAATATATAAACATTGAAATATGTACACGACATTTTTCCTATTCAGTTTATACTGCCAATATTTGTTATAGAAACAGATATTGATGAAAGAGTATTGACAAAAAACTTCACTGAGGGGGAAAACTATATTTTCCAGTCTTCATATCCTCATGAGCAACCTTTTAACTGATTTCGGAAGAAGATTCACTCGACTCTTGCAAAATTTTACGTCACAGAAACAAATGAATTACATTCAATTTCATATAATTAAAACTGTTTCAGGTGGATTTTTTCATCTCAATCGTATCTAAAAAAAACTGATGTGCATGATCTATTTATAAAGATTTCCTAAGCAGTCATTTATTTCTTCCTTTCTCAGGAAGTTTCCCACTTTCTATCTAAAAATGGAGAAGTGATTCTGAACTGTCGATAGAAGGACGTTAACGTAAGTTAATATCTTCTATAATACTAGTTTTGAGTCCATGTGGTATGATTATTACCGTGGCAAACCTGAAATAGGAAGTCGGAGGGTCATTATCAATTGTTAACACTGCAGCCATTTAAGATTTTATCCAGGACGATTCCAAATTTACCAAGTAAGAAAAGAACGCCGTAACTATTTCAGTCGTTACCAATAACTTTTTCTCCACTTACCAATCATGTGTATCCAAGCCGGTGAAAATAAGAACCCACAAAACACCCACAACATAAACAACAAACAAAAAGTACAAGCGAAAACCATAAAAAGTAACAAAGCGGAACGTCACGATAACTTTTGTGCACAAGAACAAGTGTAGCCGAAGATATGCCGGCTTCGAAGTTTGTTGCAGGCAGCGCAGCGGTCACTATTCCAAGACCTACTCCGTGTGTACTTCTTCTGCTCAAAACGCGCACTGAACTGTCACGAGCACGCCGCGAAGAAGCGACGTTGCCACTAGTGCGGTTTTTAGTGAAAATGGAGAATAAATCTATTTGACCGTGATACACCGCAGAAATCTGAATTTTTGGAGTTCTCTAACAGTATATTGTATTTTCATATTGTGGTTATTACTCGAATACTTGACTCCCACATTAAATAAATTTTTGAACCACGTATTTTTGACCGCTGATCCCGAATCTGAAGTCAATATATGGCCGTTCAATCGACTTTCATAGATACTACCATCCAAAAGTAATTTTTTAAATATCTGTTCTTTTCAGGTCGTTGAATACATTATCAAAATAAGACAAAATAACCACTTGAAGTGAATAAATATGTTTTTCAGAGTTTTTCGAAGTTTCAAGAGTGATAAATTTCACAGTTGTCATAGAAATTTTAAACTATCTGGAAAACTGTTCCTCGGGTACCAATGAGAGGACCAATGACTTTCATTTTACCGTTAATTTTATAAATCTCCTTGAAAAGTTTCATTGTTGATTCATACATTTCTTTTTCCTTTTCTGCTGTACTCATAAACTTAATTTTTTTTCGGATAATATAGTGGCTATTAGGTGACGAATGACGTAGTGCCTAGTGTTCCTAGAAGTTAACCAAATGGACACAATTCCAAAACGTGAGGACCCAATACAATGTCTGTACTAATTTCCGTCCTGGGATCTACCAGTTATTTCTCTTAGGTTCACTGCACATTCTGTTATTTCAATACTTTCCATTCACGCATATGTAGTCAGGCCCTCTTGTGCAGTGATTCAAGAATTTGCTGGAGTTAGTGGTCGTAAAGCTCAATATTAAATTATTCCAGTTATCTCAAGTTTCTCTAAAAATATCTCTCAACTTTCGTTCAAAATAGGTTCATGTGTCATTTAATAACTATTTTCAGTTTCTTCAAACATGTGTTGGGTTCATCATGGAATAATCTTAATTTTTGTAGTAGCACTTTCTGTTGTGATCTGAGTTTCTTAGTTATACTGAAGCTTCGAAAAAATGGCTCCCATGACGCTTGAAAGAGAACTTCTCTTCTCACTTCTGGAAAAGAGTACCGCATACTGTCTAGAAAGTCTGAAGTTAACACCACAATCGCTTGTGGTAAATATTCAAAGGAAATGTTTGCCCTATCTCAGATCCGTGAGGAAACTTCAAAAATTGATGAATACGATAAAGTACTGATTGATTCGACTCTTCAATGGATCACATCAGCTGTATAACTCAAGAAAATTTTCTCTTGATTCAATTTTGTTTATTTTTCAGGTTGTGGAAGGTTGAAAACCCGACCCGACTCTCGTTGAAAAGAGAGCTCGCCCAAACGGATAGAGAAACTCTAAATGCATAGATCTAGATATTGAAAGATGACAGTGTCCTAGTTAGCACTTACTTCGTTTGCAGAAAATGCTGGTCGTTTGCAGATATTGCTACACTGAATCAATATTTGTGTTGAGCTCTTTGATGTTGCAAAAATCGGTTCCAAATTTGTTACTAGATATTTGTCTAGTCTAAAACCTAGAGTTTTACCATGCCACTTAGTTGGAGCTTGAGTAAAATAATCCTAATGAGTGAACTTAATAATATCTGCGGAATGAAGCTCCCAAATCAACCTATTTTATATTGGATTGGTGGGTCATATGAGTCACATATGAGTGAATAATATATTGCTGTGTTTTACGGGAATTGAATACATTTGGCAATATTATGTGCCACCTTCCATGTGGAAAATAGTCTTTGAAAACACAGCACAGACATTATTTCTGTAAAAAATCTGAATAGGACCATTTTGCATTTTTGCAAACGTAACTAATATTCAACTGAGTTTATTGGTGAAACAATTAACAAAATTATATAATTGGGTAGTTATATTGAAATGTTCAAAAAATCTAATGAACAGAATATTAAAAATATAGCACTTTTGTTAAAATATCGACCGTTGTTGCCATTTAAGACGGTTCAAGTTTTTAAAGGACTGTTCAAATTTTACACAATTAACATTATGATGAAACCACAGATAATCGAATTATTTATGTGACTGAAAATTTTAAGAACTCTGATATATAAAATAATTACTTTTTTATCCAATTGAGCGATTTATTTCTCAGAAGGTTTTTCTCAAATACTTTTTAGTGTTTCATTTGTGTCAGATATACTGAATTTATATTATATTACTTAAACTTTTTTCTCTATCAAAGAGATTTTGTTGGAAGAGATCTCATTTATTCAGATTTATCCATGATACTAATAGAACAATTTTCACAAACATTTTTTTATGTCTAGACTTTCGCTAACACCATAACTTCCTCGTCATTAATTTTCATCAAATAACGGGTTATACCATTCATTATTCAGATATTGAAAGTTGTGGAAAAACCACATTGTCCTCGTTTGAATTTGTCTTAGAAAAATTATTTTTAGACTCTATGAGAGTCGTCAATCTTTGATGAAACGTATCAAATAAATACAAAATAATAAAATTGTTTGTCAAACTGCTCATGAGGTCACCAAAAACTAATAATTTTGAATTAAGTTTCCTAAGTGACAATGAAAATAAAGTATCAAGTATCTTCCGTGGAGCACGAACTTTCGGACGACATTTATGAAGAAACGCTTATGGCAAAGACGAAGAACACCTGGAGCGAGCGGCCCAAAGTGCATAATTTACTATATTTTTTCAACCCAGCTGCGCATCGGGATCCATTTCTTTAATCTGCTGCTAGTGCTTTTCAAAAGCCGAACTTTTCCCTTCAGCAAACACCACTTTGCTAATTCATTCGATTCATTCAACCATCTAGTTTTCCCCCACGGAATAACAATTACCTAGACTTGGGCCAGACGGGAGCAACCTGTATGTATGCGAATTATAATTTTCTCCGGCCACTTGATCGGCTATACTTGTAAGTTTAGGCCAGTTTCGGCGAGAAACAAAACAGCTGCGATAACATGTGGACAAGAAGACAACGCGCATGTCTAATGTAGTTTAGCGTTGTTGTCAGATTGACAACACAGTCCTGTATTTCATAAAATCTGTAATAAAATAAGGCACTATTCGTCAGGAATATTCAGCACGACTAGTTGTGCCTGGTTATTCGGCTATGGGTTCATTTTGCATCTGCAGGTAACATGATTTGACGGCAGCGGCGGATTCACAGGGGAATGTTGTTTATTATTCTTATACGCCTCGAAAGTTGTGCCAATATGAAAACAGTTGAATCCACCAGATACAACTTCAAAATCATCAAATTAACGTTTCAAAATCCTCTATCACGAGAAGATGGCACTCATAAAATTGAACGGATACCTATTCACTCGTCAAACCGAAAATTTATATGAATTCAAAGAAAATATTTTTTAAGTTAAATTTCGTAATTATAATTGTCAATGAAAATCAAAGAATGACGAGTGACGGGTGCAGCTATAGCAACATGCGTGACATCCGAATCCAAAATAAAACAAACATGAATCTTTTGAGAATCCTGAAAATTTAACTGAATGACTAAATAGAATTGAATGCTTCCCTTCTGTTGAATCTGTTTCCTAATGTGGAAATTGGTATTCAATTTATTACGAGACCATTCAATGAGTTTGTGAAATTTCTTTAATTATGTTGAAATTTTTAGGAGCGATTAAGGTTTTGACTTTCAACTTCTCCATCTTTTCACAAAAAATGTGGGAATCTTTCAAAGAAAGAAAGAAAACAATTGATATCAAAATAAACTATTTTTTCATGTGTAGATCATGCAAGCAACGAAAGAATGTGTCTGAACCTGAAACGAATTATTCCATCTATAAAATTTATTTTTATTCTCAATCATTATATTCTCAAAAAACTCAACCTGAATATAATTAGTAGCTTTTTTATGTCATCTAACTCCGTCCACCCAATGAAAATACTTCCCCAAAAGATAAATCACAAAAATGCCTTTCCTCCTTTTTCAGTTTCGAGTAGATTTTTATTGCATTACTAGTACCTTTCCGATTCTTTAATAATATTATGTCCGATAGAATCGATGGTGGTAGCAGGAACTTCTCTGATCTGTTTTAATTCTCTTCGGTGCACCGACAAAAAACTGGAGCAAAGAGTACACCGACTATGCTGTGGTTAATTTCACGAAGTGATAGACAGGTGGAACTGTCACAGATTGGAGATCTCCGAACTCCAGTGGCGTACGAGACTGTTTCGAGTAGGAATATTTAGATTTGACGAAAAGTATATCAAAAAAATAAAAGATATTCAAGATAAACTTTCATATGAGAATTTTTCCTTCAGTTTATGAAACAGCAATACATGTGTTCCGCTATATAATAACTTCCTCAGGCGTGTTTATTCTATGAATGAGAGTTTATGACAAACTATAATATAAAACCATAGAAATTTATGTTTACTCCTGAAGACAAATAGATATCCAAAAAAGATAATGACTATGTTTATGCCATCTGTTTCATCAATTTCGGAAAAAAAAAAGTATCCTATGCTACTTCTAATACCTCATGTATACAGAATTTCAATGATCGCTTGAGTAGTTCTCGCGTGAAACCGTAACAAACAAACATTCGCATTTATAATATTAGTAGGGAAGTAGGGATAATAATGAAATCAAAACTATGGAGAATCTTTGGATAAAAACTTGAAAAAACAATAGAACTCTAACAAAGTTCAAAGTGAATTACGCAAAAATCCGTTCTATATTATTTCCAGACTTATCATACAAAATTCTGAACATTTGATGAAAGGAATATCCAAAATAAAATTCAGTTCAAAGCGATTGAAGGTATCAATATGGATGTGGGCGAAGAACCAATAGAAGATTATTCCAGAATTTTCACTTTAATTCTGGAAATAGTTTATTCCATTTACTTGACCAGTTTGTTACGATTAGGTGTAGAGTTGTGGAACATATTTATTATTCAAAAATTCAGAACACAAGTAATTTGATAAAAGTTATATCCTGATTTATAAATATGGTTTCA